TAAGGCAGCTGGATCCCACATGGCCTGAGCATATCGAGTCCCAGACCCAGTAGTTTGAAAATCTCAAGAGAAGAATGGAGAAGTGATTGCAAAATGTGCATCCCCCTGGGGGGGTGTGTGTGTGATTTCTCACTTCTCCTCTCTATCACTCTCTGTCTCTCTCCAGTTCATGTACCCTCTAGCAAAATAACAAAACAAACAAAAAAAAAAAAGAGAGAGAGAGAAAGAAAGAAAAGAAAAGAGTTTGAACAGAAAAATAAAGAAAAGCAGAGAAAATAGGTATGGTGGGTGGGAGGAGAGATAACCTACAGACAGTGCTTCACCCTGGGGAGTTTAGCTGGTCATATAACTGAGCAATAATAATATGATTTAGTTCCCTTAGGCACAGAATTTGTTTGAAAATCCACTCTAGAACTTGTCTCAGAGGCCTTAGTGAGCTTTGTAAAATATCACAAGCTGATAGTCTCTATCAATGTACTTCATTTGGGTTAAGGTTTTGTAAGGGATCATTAACAAAGTATTCAAGGACAGGCTTCAGGGATCCATGAATTTCTTTAAATTGCATAAAAACATTTTTGTATCTCTTTAGATATGCATTTGCTTTTCTAAAGAAAGGGCTATTAACTTCGATCAGATTCACAAGATGATTCTAAGATCCTTGCCTCAAAAAAAAAAAAAATTAAGTACCACTACTTTAGGTCATTACTAATTATTTAATTTTCTATTCTAAGAAACATAGGTAACACATGTATATGTGTGTATGTGTGTGCATAAGACTTGCAATTACAAGTTTCAGATATATTAAGCATGGTATTTTTAGGCATAGTCTTATTTCTACCTCTTATATGTAACAAATTCAAAAATGCTTTTATTTTAAGCTATAACAGTTTTTATATCAATGAGACAAGTTTCATGTATTATTACTGAAGGGAATAGAGAATTTAATGGCATAAATATATCTATTATTTATGAAAAAAGAGAATACCTTGCTCCAATTTTAGCACAGAATTTGATTACATCTCTATTTAACTCTAAAATTACATATTTTTTCCTATCATTTTAGATGATAATTATTTATGAAAAAAGAGAGAATTCCTTGTTCCAATTTTAGCACAGAATTTGATTACATCTCTATTTAACATATTTTTTCCTATCATTTCAGATGATAATCAGTTTCCTCCCAAATATCAGAAATCTTATTATCCTGAAAATACTTCCGTATTTCCAGAGGTTATAATATTTTGATGCAACAACAAACAAATTGACAGGAAATAAAATGATGGTTTATTACTCTCAAACAGATCAGCCGATGACAATTGATCCTTTCATCCATTATTCTTCTCAATAGGAGGACTGATTTCCAGTCATCTTTCCTGTTGTCCTGTAGACCCTAGATCTCTGGAATATTCTAGGAGGTCCATTCTAGGACTTCTCTCCTCATGATAACACTAAGTGAATCTCTCTTGGTCTACGAGTTGAACTACAGATTCCACTGACAAAATCTTTGCTTAAGAGTCAGAATTTGACAAATTCTTAGATCTCCTAGAAGATTCTAGAATGAGTCTAGGTCTATCTTTGATATAAAACAGCAGGTATAGCATATTTCTCCTTGAAATGAAATCAGCAATAAAGAAACATGTGCTAAAGCAAAGGGGAAAAATAAATAGCAGAATATTTTGGGAATTACTTCATTAAATAACAAGCATTAGAAAAGAGGCAATATTTTCCAAGGCATATTAAAATACACATCCCTATGGGGTGGATATTTTTTATGACAGCAAATTCTCCTTCCAGAAGAAGTGCACCATATTAATGTTTCAAGTTATTTCTGAGCCTTCAGAGTGCCTTCAACAATAGCCTACTTCATCTTCATAATTAACAGCATGGGACAGTGTCTCCTTCATAGACACCCAAACTTGAGAGCCAAACAGGCATGTTCCTGATGTCTGAGCCATGAGGAATTCCTGGGTTAGAATTGGGACGCAAGCTTTCCCTTTCCTCTTCTTAGATTTGAAGAAGCAATTTCCCATCCACGAAAATCTAATAGAATCACAGGTTACCTCTCCCTCCCAGATCCCTTGGGGGAATGAAAACATATCTTGGCATCTTGTCTTGTCAGCCAACCATCGTTTTCTCTTACATTTTTTAAACATACATTTTAAACAGCACTCATTTTTTGTAACTGGCATTTTGGAGTTAAAGATGTTCCCTTAAGATGAAAAACAAATCATGACAAACACTGACGTGGAAGAAATAATGTCCTAGAAGATTGGAACAAGAAGTAAAACAGGTCACTCAAGTCAAATGAAGTCTCTTACTAATAGAGCTAGAAACCAAATCCCAAAGTATTATTTGTCACTGGGAACCAGTTCCACGGTGTAAGATAACACATAGCAAAACGCCAATGACCAAGTATGTCTTCTAGTTATTTCTAGAGGTGGCACAGAATTTTGATTCTTTTTTTTAAGATAACTGCTTTGTGTACCCCCCAAACCACTCCATTTTCATGTTGTTATTCAACTCTCTAGCTATTCTGAGAAAGCACAGAGAAAAAGCACAGTATAATAATAAATTGAGCAAAAAAAAAGATAATCAAACAATGATACTTGAGATGTCACTTGAAAGTGAATTTAATTGCTTTCTCCTTGTGTATTTTATGGACATTGAATTTTAATGCTTCTCTTTAAGTTAGGTGGAAACCATATATACAGTGCTGATAATAGAGCAATTTTTACCTGAAAACAATAATGTCCTATAGCTTAGCATAAGTAGCTTAAATACTTTATGAAAAATCTGTGAAACCTGTTAATTCAACTGAATTCAACAAATGTTTACTGGGCCCCCATCATATGCATGGTACATTGCTCAATAACGAAGAAAGAGCTCATGGCAAGGGATGGAGGCCATGTCTCCTGGGCAATTTATTCTGACTACTAAGTGGTTAAGAAACACTAACCAAGCTGGTCATCTACAATCAGAAATAGACCCATAATTCAACCAACAAGTTAAAATATGTCCTCGCTGATTTTCATAGTCTTTTAACTAAAAAAAAAAAAAAAAAAAAAAAGTCATTTTCTTACCACTGTGTTCATTTCAGGGAGATGGCATTTTTTTTTTTAACTTTCCATTTTCATGAAGGAAACTGACCCATTGGATAGATGAAAGATGTGCTTAAGACCACGTTTAGCTTCCAATCTGTTGACTGCTGGCCCAGTGCTGTTGTCTGTTGACCAATTGCTTTCTCTCCCTCCTCCCCCGCAACCCTCCCTCGTAAAGCACTGTAATCAGTGCTTTAGCTGATCCCAGCATCTTGCAAGTTGTGGGGAGAGGGCAAAGTCGCATAGATGCTGGTGGGGAAAATCAGCTAATGAGTTTTCTGCCAATTTGGGCTCAGTATTTTATCCCTTTATATGTTGTTACCTCCCCTGTGCTCAGTAATTTTAGTTTATAATTTTTGTTTCTCTTTTTGTTTCTTTGGTTTGCTGGCTTTGTGTTTTTTTCCCCTTTTTTTCCTTTTCTTTTCCTTTTTTAATGCAGGAATTGGTCAAGGCGTTCCAGTGGTGGCCCTCATTGTTGAAGGAGGACCCAATGTGATCTCAATTGTGTTGGAGTACCTTCGAGACACCCCTCCGGTGCCTGTTGTTGTCTGTGATGGGAGTGGACGAGCATCCGACATCCTGGCCTTTGGGCATAAATATTCAGAAGAAGGCGGGTAGGTAATTTGTCAGGACCCAGGGTAGACCTTTGGGTGCAAAGTCTCTATTCAAAGCTTGGCAAAGAGAGTGTCAGTAGTTCAACTGTGATCTCACATCAAAACCAGCTATGAACAAGTTGTCTAAGAGATGTCTTCATGACAGGATACTGGGGAAAAACAAAGGGACGTATTCCAAATATCTTTATTTTATTTTTTTTTTGGAGAGGTTTTTGCTATAGGGCGCATGCGTTCACCAGAAAGACAGAGAGACAGAGAGACTGAAAGCTAGAAATCACCTCCCCTCCCAGAGGGGAAGGCCATGCCGCAGTTCCTTCTCCTCCATTCTCCTCTCAGGATCTTGGGCACGCACGCACATGTGCCCGGCTTGAGTTTAAGCCACCGAGTCTGAGAGTCGAACCACGGTCGATTACATGGGAGTCCAGCGACATAGCCATTACACTAACTGCTGGTTCCCCAAATATCTTATGAGTGGAAAATCCCATGAGAACTGAACTAGAACACACTGGCAGTAGAGATTGAGGAGAAGAGATGTGGTCTCTCCTTTCTCTTCTCTTTTCCTCTTCCCAAGAAGGAGAAGCAGGAATTCTGTTTTAACACATGAACTTCAGCTCATCTGGACTGCCCAGTGCTGTGGTAACTTGAGAGAAGCTCGAATGTACAGTTTCCAGGTGTGGACTCCCAACGCTATCCACAGCACAAACATTCAGTGAGCCGTGCTGTCAGCTTTCTCTGATGAGTTAAGAGTAAGTCTCTGCCACAGTTACTACTCTGGTCTTTTGAAAACTCCTCATGAACCCCTCACACATCTTCCTTGGTTTTTTAATCCCCTAATGCTGCTTTCAAAAGTCCAAAGTCCCCAACCCCAGGGAGCTCTCCCTGTCCCAGTCCTCCTCTCTCCAATCTGAGCCTCTACTCAGTGACTAGTGAAATCCAGGTGCTCTTCAGATTGCTAGATCAGAGTCATTCATCTCAAGGTGTCAGTGAGTTTTAGGAGGAAAACTAAGGTGAGCCATTAAATTTTAATAGTGGGTCCAGCAGGTGGCATGTTGGTTAAGGTGTTGGACTCTCACATGGCCAACCGCAGTTCGAATCCTAGAGACTTGCTTTCTCTCTCTCTCTCTTGCTGGTGAGTGCATGTGCCTTATAGCAAATTTAAAATAATAACAATAATAAAGAAATAAAATAAATAATTCTTTAATTGAAAAAAAAGTTTTACATAAGGAACATTCTTAACCCAACCAGTTCTCCCTCAAAGGAGATGGGGGTGTTTTATTCATGCTTTTTATAAGTATACAGAAAGTGCCTACTGGGTACCATGCATTATGCCCACAGTGAGATGTGAAAAAGAATAACAGGCAATTGCTACTCTCAATAAGCTATAATAAGTCTAGTAAGGAGAAAGCATGTAATTAAAATAATAAAGAGGACAAGTGAGCTTACCTACTACAGTACCCTCCCTCCATCTAGCCTGCCTCAAAATAAAGACAGCAGGGCAGCTCAATAGCATCTCTTTTCTCCCATCCCCTTCCTTGTCTTTGCCAGCAGGCCCAGTACCCCAGGTGAGCCATTAAAACAGCAGGCTTAGCCGGTTAGCTTATGAACCTAAGTATGTGAAGTGAGGACTAATGAAAGGGATGGGGCCTCCAGCGACACCAGCACACTTGACAATGATTTTAGACTTAGCTAAAGTTTTGATACCCACCTCCAACCCACCACACTCTCCCCTACAAAAGTTAATTTTTGTAAGCACAAAGTTTGAGTTTGATTCCTTGGAAACTTTAAATACATTACTAGCTGAGCTTCCCTGATCTAAAAATCTGAAATGTGAAATTTTCCAAAATCTGAAAGTCTGGGGACACTAATATGACACTGCAAGTGGAAAATTCCACACCTGACCTCACGTGATGTAATGGGTCATACTCAAAGCACTGCAATACAAAAATGTTTTTGTAATTGCCTTCAGCTATGTTTATAAGAAATGAATTCTAGGGACCAGCAGTTAGTGTAATGGCTATGTCGCTGGACTCCCACGTGGTCGACCGCGGTTCGAGTCCCGGACTCGGTGGCTTAAACTCACGCCAGGCACGTGTGCGTGCGTGCCCAAGATCCCGAGAGGAGAATGGAGGAGAAGGGATTGCAGCGTGACCATCCCCCCTGGGGGGTGATTTCCTACTTTCTATCTCTCTGTCTCTGTCTGTCTTTCTGGCGAGCGCACGTGCCCTATAGCAAAAACCTCTCCAAAAAAAGGAAAAAAAAAAAAAGAAATGAATTCTAAATTTGGACTAGGCTCCCTTTAAGCTACTTATAATGTATGCAGATATTCCAAAGGTTTTTTTGTTTTTGTTTTTGTTTTTGTTTCTAAATCTGAAATACTTTTGGTTCCAGGCATTTTGGATAAGGGATTCTCAAGCTTTACTATTACCTTCTTTAATAGCAAATATTGGTCCACTTTATAGTAAGGACCTAAAACCAGAGTTCAAAATGGTTAATTATCTCTCTTTTTATTCACAATTTAGTCATAGTTTTTATTTCTTTAAATATAGCAACGTGTTCTTTATTTAGAAATAAATTAAGGAATTTATACAGTTTTTATCTTTGGATTGTTACTCTCTTTTCAATGTTTGCAAATTATGTTTATTGAACTCCTACAAAGTAGATGTGAATTTGCATTCTGAATATACATATCCTTTTAAAAAAATCTAATGAATGACTAAGCTGCTCACCAGAGCATTGCAGGTTTCCTAGGGCTGTATATAATAAAAGCCAGGACCTGGTACCTATGGTTGTCATGCTCTTAGGTTGTGTAGCTTGAAAATGTTAAAATCTTTTTGATAAGATCACCCTTTCTATGTTGGTTTTAATATGGAAGAAAAGATTGTACTTTATAGTTGAGTGGGTACATAGATTATTTAATCTGAGGGATAGCAAGTGAATTTAATTTTTTTTAAGAGATTTTTGCAATAGAGCATATGCACTTGCTGGAAAGACAGAGTCAGAAGGACAGAAAGCAAGAAATAAGCGCCCCCAGGGGGATGGCCACACTGCAATCCCTTCTCCTCCATTCTCCTTAGGCACACACGCACATGCACCTGGTGAGTTTTAAATCACTGAGTCCAGGACTCGAACAGCAGTTGACTACATGAGAGTCCAGAACATAACCATTATGCCACCTGCTGGTCCTTGACTTTAAGTTTTTTGTCCAAGGCCACGCAGCCCACTATCTCATGCCAGGATTCTTCCTGGTGTATTACAAAAATTTATTGAAATGTGTCTTTTGGCATGCATGCTTTATTTAGTATTTCTCATATACTAATTCAATGACACTGTCTTTTAAATATTTAAATGCACTTAAGTTATCCTCATATTCCTTTTTGGCGCGTGCACTCGCCAGAAAGATAGAGAGAAACACAGAGACAGAAAGTGAGAAATCATCCCCAAGAAGGGATGGCCATGCCACAATCCCTTTTCATCCATTCTCCTCACAGGATCTTGGACACGCATGCACACACGCCAGGCATGAGTTTAAGCCACTACGTCAGGGACTTGAATTGTGGTCGACCACATGGGAGTCCAGCAACATAGCCATTATGCTAACTGCTGATCCCTGGATTATAATTTTTTTATTATTCCATATATTCTGAAAATAAAATCAGTGCATTCCTGATTATAATTCAGTGTCCAAATTGACCATCCCTATGTCACATGGATAATTTCCTTCTCACATCTAAATCTTTGTACTCCAATCACAAAATTAAGACTCAAAAATACTAACACCTATTAAATTTAATTGACAGTTTTAATTCTAATTACTTTATAGCTTAAATATGTAGACGCACAGTCTATACAGAATCTATAAAGCATTGGAACCATGACTGATTGTCAAAACATATGAAGTCAGATATAACTAGTGTGGAATTTTTTAAAAAGTATCATTTTATATCTTGGAAATTAAAAAAATTAAAGCCTTAAAATTATTAAGAATGATTTAGAATTATTATTAGGAAAACAGAAGTCTAAGAGAAGCTTTTATGTATTATATATAGGGGAGAGAAAGACAGAGAGAGATGGAAAAAGTATGTTCTTCCTCCAGGAAAGCAATTATAAATTTATCATGATAAAATGAAGTCAGAATGTTTCTCTGTGCCATCTGAATAACTGCCAGAGTTAATCACATCTATTTAGCTTGATAAGAAATTGTCTAGCCACACGTGTGCAACCAATTTTAAAAATCATTTCCAACTAACATTATTTTGCGGAAGTGTGTTTTCTTTATGTTAAAAAAGAGCAAGCATACCTAGACTTTATTCACCAGGAAGGATTTCTTCTTTGATTTCCAATGAATGTCAACAGAGGTGGACATGTTTCACTCCAAATATAAATGTGTAATTGCATTCATGTAAAAAAACTAATAACACCTATATAAAGAAGTGTGTGTGATTATACACATAAAATTAGATATAGGAAACTTACACACCTTGTTTAAGAAATCTGTATTTCAGGACCAGTAGTGGCATAATGGCTATGTCACTAGACTCCCATGTAGTCGACCGTGGTTTGAGTCCCGGACCCAGTGTCTTAAACTCACTCTGGGCACGTGTGTGTAAGATCCCAAGAGGAGAATGGAGGAGAAGGGATTGTGGCATGGCCATCCCCTCAGGGAAGTGATTTCTCGCTTTTTGTCTCTCTGTTTTTCTCTGTCTCTCTGGCAAGTGCACATACCCTGTAGCAAAAACCTTTCCAAAAAAGAAATCTATATTTCAAAGCTGAAATTCTGACTTCATTTTATCATGATAAATTTATCATTTTGATTACTTTGGAAATTAAAATATGTTTAAAAAGTTGTAAAGTGTATTTATAGGTTGTTAATACAAGTCCAATAACTTAAAATGAGTATGTTAAGTTATATGTGGGAACTGCATAAAGTTTGTGAGGGGCTAGTTGCTGGTGTGGTGATTAAAGTGGCTGGATCCTCCATGGCCAACTTCATGGTTCAAGTC